TAAAATTCATTTCAATTTTATAAATCCCTAAATTAAAATCATGCATGTATTATTAATGTTAAAAATAAAAATAAAATTTTTTATTTTTTATACAAATTAGTGAAAAAATATGTAATTTAATAATGGTATTAATTTTTTTAAGAAATAATTAAATTTAAATTATAATATTGATTATTGTAAATTAAAAATATTATCTTAATTAATTATTACTTTGACATAGAATTTAAACTTCAAAAATACAATATTGTAAAAAATAAAAAAGATATGTACTATATTTAACATTTTTCAAAAGTTTAGAAGGCACATGTCAACAAAGAAAAAGAACTCCATTAGTCTAGGTAACGGAATGTTTATTAAAGTAGATTATTTTGAAACAAAATTGATAGTTTATAGATCATTCTGAACAAAAAAATTATTTCTAGACTAAATTAAAATAAATTATATAATTAATAAACTATTTATTAAATTTAACCATGTTATATATATAATATAAAAGAATTGGGCCATTTGTCCATTTAATTAAATTTGGACTTAAATATAATTATTAGACTTTGGGCTCGGCTTAAAGAATTGGACTAAATATAATTATTAGACTTTGGGCTTGGCTTAAAGAATTGGACTTTTTAAAATGCCAATTTTAGGTCATTTTAAGAGATTTATTAGAATGTCACAAGTTTAAATTTTTTAGAGATAACTTACGGTTTGGTTATTTACCAACCAAATGGTATGGTTCAATTTTAATTTTTGGTAATTATAAATTAGAACGGGGAGTTGATTGTATAATAACAAAAATAGAGAAAATATTACTGAAAAGAAATAAATAATAAAAAACCCAAAAATTCTTAGAAGAAAAATATTACAAAATTGAAAGGAAGCCCAACTGCAAGAAGATGATCAGTGGAGTGGAATATATATATATATATATATATATATATATATGATAAAGCGAAGTTTTTTTTCATCACCATATCCATCATATAATTTGGTGATGAGTGAAAAGAAGCAGCTGGTCGTGGAAGTGGCCGACTAGCCTTAATTGATCATGATCTATGTAAGTGCGGTTGAAACTTTTTTCTAACAGTCCGACCCTCATATAGCTTTGCCAGGCCACTTCACTGATTATTATACCATTATGGCCCCTTTCATTGATCTTTTAAAGACCCACTTGTCCTGAGAGATATGTTCATCCTCTTTAATGATGATCCATTTTATAGATTGTAAAAGGAATAGAGGTATGCTCAAGGAAAAAAGATTGGATTGAAGACTTTGGTTTAGGAGATAAATACAAAATAAATAATTAATTTAGAATATAAAGATAATTAGCTAGCATATCTAATGGTGTGTTTGGGATTGTGGTTAAGAGTTTTTTTTTTTTGTAGTTGTATAATATTTTTAGATAGATGTGTACGTTTGGTAATCTTTTTTCAAATTATTTCTTTTAGAATTGCAAAAAGTTATAGTCGATTTACAACAATTATATATATAACTAAAAGTCTCATTTTTGAGGTTTTTGTTTATGACTTTCACAAAAAAAAACTTAATATTTAATATAATTATAAAATTATCCATTAAACTCAAATTTTGGTTAATTCAAGTATATCATAATTTACAATATTTTATTTAAATTTAATCTCTTATTTATTTAAATATTTTATAAAAAAAATTAAAAACTCATTCTCTCCATATGAGTTGCTCTTTCACGAAACCCAAAAAAACACCCATTATAAAAAACTTAAGAAATATAAATTATTAAGAAGCAGTAAATGTTATTTATTTTTATAATTATATATCATATAATATTTTTTAAATTTTAATTGATAATTAATAAAATTTATCATATTTCATCTATAATATTTTTAATAAATAAATAATCAAACATCAAAATAATTTTTAATCACAATGACAATACAAAACAGTTCAGTACTATCACAACTACAGTTATAACCGTAATTATAGGTACAATCATAAAACCTCATAATAATTCCAAATGCACCCTAATGCTCCAACTATGCTGCTGTCGTAGGGTTAGGGTTTGGGTTGTAACTTTCTTTCTTAGGAATTTCCTAACTTTTAAGGTTGTTCTCTGCTTTTTCTCTCTCTCTTTTTATTTTGTCTTTTTCTATTTTGTTTTGCATTTACTTGTTTGATTCCTTACATCAGTGTCGTCTGGTTTCATGCTTACCAAAAAACGAAAAACAAAAAAAGTTGCATCTTGTTTCATAACATGGAATATTCAAAGGATTAGATTTATCCTGGCTTTGACTAGTGGCTCTTGGGGGAGGGCGCAACTGTTGGTGACATAGGCGTTGTCACGCCTAGAGTTGGAAACACAGTAAGTGCTGAATAATTGTGAGTAGGACTCACAAGTGAAGAAAATTTAGAATCAAGTTAATTTATTATGTAAAACTAAAACTAATAGTCAAAGTCTAAAAATAGCACAAATATTATTAAAAGTGAAATAACATCCAATTTATTATTACCAGGTCAAATTATAAAAATTAATGCTAATTAGATCCTCCAACTATCTAAAACTGACAAATAAGTGCAAAAACTAATCTAAGTCTCAACTAAGTTCAAACTAAATCTAATACAAAATCATCACTCACCCTGATTCCTAGCATCTCTAATATTGTTACCTAAAATGGTGAGCAAGGAAAAACTTGAGAAATAGTTCTAGCAAGTGAATATTTGGTTCCCCTTTCTATTTTTAATTAAGTATGCCAACAAGTATAAATCAAGCATCAAGTAAAAACAAGGTACGAGTACAGGTAATGAAATAAACATCTCCTACAAGTCATGACCAACGTTTATAAATTAAACGTCCCACTAGTAAACAAAAGATTACTAGTGTATAATCCCACTAGTAAGATATAACAAATATAACAAGAAAAAAATTAATTCCACAAGTAACATGTTGACATGTGTTAGCATTTATAAACCTCCTACTATCATTATTGACTTAAGCTTGAATGCCTACCACCTATGGGACCTTTTGTTTGCTTGGTTTCACATTAAATTAACAAGGGATGATCACTGCTTATTGTTACTTTGATGTTGGTCTTTTGAGGTGACGCTTGTTTGTATAATGGTCTTGCTTTTATTTGTCACTTGAAAACATTGATGAAAGGGATGTTATTTACCCTTCAAGATAATTGTTTCATGAATGTGGTAGGGCTATCAATGGGTGGGGACTGTTGATAACCCAAGTACCTATTATCCCACGAAGCTAGTATAGTAATTGAAAATGTCTGATAGCTCAAGGTGCTCACAATGACATTCTTTCTATGTTAGTAGCTTTATTTATGCCCATAGATTGACCATTACTGCAATTTCTAAATGCAAATAGTTCTTTATATTTTAATTGTCTATATTTGTTGTGTAAATAATTTAAGTTTGTAGTATCTAGTGTTGCAGGATATGTTTCTTGTTTGGATTGTTTTTGCCTTGTGCATTTAATGAATAGATGGTTTTGTTGTAACAACCCAAACAGGTAGTTTCTAGACACAACTATAGATTCTAGCTGAAATTTACTGTCATAATAGTTTCTATTTATATGTGGACAAGTCTTTAACTGCATTAAGCTAGAAATCATTTCCTTGCTTCATAATGAATGTTCTTAAGCTCAAAATATAACTAGCTAGCACTTAGCC